ACGTTTTATATATTGTAATTCACCAACGAAAAATAAACCTAAACTCTTCTTTGTATCTCTAAAATAAGACACAAAGATGAAGAATGTTTAGAAAATTTTTAACAAAAAACTTAAAAGGTTTAAATTTCTCTAAATCAGAGATATACACAAGTATGATATACACGTTTTATATATTGTAATTCACCAACGAAAAATAAACCTAAACTCTTCTTTGTATCTCTAAAATAAGACACAAAGATGAAGAATATTTAGAAAATTTAACAAAAGACTTACAAGGTTTAAATTAAATACACGAGAATGCAGCGCCACAATAATTTTGTAAATAAGTGAGAAAAACCCAAAAAGGACACAGGAAATACCAACAACAAATCAAATTTAAAAATATGTTGTTTTCATCAATATATTAAATATTTAGTAAAAAAATAAAATTTTTCAGCAAACATGTCAGAATATATATGACCAATTACGTAGTTTTGAGTTTATATATTAAAAGTACACAGTTCGCTAATAATAATAAGTAGAAAAATTCAAAAGCTAAGAAAAAAACATACGAAAGAAAGCGATTATCAAGACTTGCGTTATAAGGTCCCAATTACTGCTTTGAAGCTATCGCTTAACTTCATTTCATTATATTAGTTGTTTAATGTAAAAATGATTTCAGTTTGTAATATAATATTGCTTACTTTATTTTTTTATTAATGAAAAATTTTTTATGCATTAATTATAAGAAATTAATTATTAGTTAATATACAACAAACGGACTAAATAAAAACGAATTATCTATTACCAATTAAGCAAATAATAAATGTAATAAAACACACCATGAACTTTTGCGCGATCTCCTACTTCACACGTCAAATTGAAAGATTAGAGTTAATTGTTATAATTTAATAAGTGAATATCACTTATTTTTTTTATTCGTTATATCTCTAAAATGATATTTAAACTATACCTTAATATTTATTTTATAATAGATATATAAATCAGATAAGAAAATTACCATCTTTGGTAGATGGACTTTTTCATCATTTCTAGTTACGCAATCGCGTTTTTGAGACTCAAACTGCAATTTCATTTATTAACATTAAATTTTAAATACCATACACAAATATGTAAATCTAAGTCTAAATTTAATAATAAAGTTTTTGTAAGCATTATTTTTTATATGTTACATTGTTATTAAGTAAAACAAATAAAAGTGATAGTTATTGGGAAATCTACCGGCAGTAACTGGGACATCTATCCTATGTTCAATAATATTTGGCATGTATCAGGCTGCCTTGTAACCAATGAAGTAAACTGAAATGTTCGCGTCAGTATAAAAACATTAACGCAATTTAAAGTCAAAAAACATCTTTGAATACTAAAATTTGGCATGCTTTCAAAAATTACAAACCAAACTTAGTTACATATAACTGATATATAAAACCGAATGTGTTTGGAAGATATGTTTAGATACACATACAATAACACAGGAAAACGTAAAAACAAAATTATGGAAACTTTAAGCACATAGTCAAAATAAACACGAGAACTTTTTGAAGTGGAATTCACTAATTAATATGATAAAACAATATTATCGTATCACAAGTCGAGGACATTAGCAACAAATTTAGAAATATGCTTGTATGCACTCTAGCACGAAAGAAAAACAAGACGCAGGCTTTATACAGTCAATCAATTGTAAATATTTTGTTCTTTGCTACATTATAAGTATTGAAACCAATGTAATTTCGAAATGACTTCTCCTTGTCTAGATATGTGAGAGATCTTGCTTTTAACGAGTAAGCAAATCAATCTCATCATCTCTATCTAGATATGGGAATATATAGCGAAAAAAACTGGTTTCAATTCATATACTAAAGAGATGTAAAATATATGCTTTTTTTTAAGCGGATTTCCAAAAGGTATGAGATTTATGGAATTTTGCCGATGGGGGGAAATTCTTAGCAATGAAAAAACTCTGTTTCATTATGAAGGGACAAAAAAGATCAACCCGAAAAGCTAATATTCATGGTCGAATCTTATATAACATATAAGATCGCTTTAAGTTTATCTTCAGATATTCTATAATCGATGAAGGCCTGTGCAATCTTAAGATAAACTTAATACAACTATGATTATCAGTTTCCGGCGATAGTGCTCGCCATATTTAGATAAAATAAATGGATAGTGCTCAAGCCCTTGGACGCTAGGTCCTTCCCAAGCGTTCCAATTTTAGTAGTAGTTCCTCCACTCGTAGTTCCTACTGCTACGAGAGGAAGGAAATATACCAGTGATTCCTTGATCACTTAAGTTGTGGAAGATCCTACTGTATTCAATAGCACATGCGCAAAACACAAATATACGTGTATGAACATGGAAGAGAACACATATGACATAATCTTACACGAAGTAGAGAGAGAGTGAGAACAACCCAGAGGAAGTGATTTAGAAAAGAAAATGACACTAGTTCACAAAAAGAGGGTTTAGATTAGAAAGAAAAGGGATCCCATACACTCCTGTAGCTACACATCTCGTGGTTTCATTTCGCACATGGGATTAGAAGCAATGAAAAAGAGCGAGTAGACGGTCTCCTCTTGGAAATCAGACAAAAGTTGCAAATATGTGACATCTCTGCTCTAAAACTATGCGTAAAATTATCGATTCGCAAGGAAATAGAAATTGTTAACCCCGACGGACGTTCACATACACTAGGTTCCATTACTACTTATTCATATGAAGTTGCGCTAATAACAAGTAAGACAACTTCATACAAGCAGAACTAATGGAACTAAGGCTGCGTTCGGGCAGCACGCTATCAGCGCTATTGCGTCATTCTATTTTTGTTTTACATCTAATGAGCAATAAAAGATAGAATGATGCAACAGCGCTGATAGCGCGCTCCCCGAACGCAGTCTAAGTAGCTATTATAAAACTATTCGAAATTAATTTTGAATAGTTCCATAATCTATCTTGAACGCAAAACAGAGCCGTGTAAAGATCTTTTACACATGAAGGCGCACCATAATGTTTCAATATTAACAATGAAGGTGCAACTTATTATTAAGATTAAAGAGAGTGGAAGGCTTTGTAAAGACAAACGTGTTTTTTTTTTTTATCTTAAAAATTTTTGTGTAGTTTCGACTAAGATTTTTTCATGCCTCCCGATAACTATTCTCTGAATAAAACTATACAAAAAGATATGCTTTATCTTTTAGATAAAGTTATCAAGAACTTATCAGAGATAAAGAAATTGAGCGTAATGCGTCAATCAGTTTTACTAGTAATTTTCACAATGCCGAACACAGCTATCATTCATATCTTTATGATTCGTTTGTATATAAAGTTCAAGTTTGTATTTCGATTTTTGAAGACGAACACTAAAGTGATATGCAAGATCAATGTTTATATTATAAAAATATATATTTATATTATATTATTTTCCAATACATACTTTATCATGTGAATGTGAAAGATTTGTCTTTTGAAATATTTATAAAAATTCTGACTTAAAAATCAAACTCGAGTTTGGCAAATTAAATTAGTTTAGGTTTAGGTTTAGGTTAGTTTACAAAAGATAGCTAAAATGTGCGAGTTTTTTTTTTATTCTCTTGCTTATTGTTACTTATCTTGTATTATCTGTTTCACTTAATCGTTATAAAATTTGATAGCTTTGTTGTGTCTGTTTGAAAAAACAAATACACATATTGTTATAATAAAAGCTAAATATAAGATAGGAAAATGTATGCTTTGATCATATGTATATCATGATTTGATCTTGGTAATTTGGCTTTTGATCAATATTTGGCATTGAAATGTACACGCAAGCTTTCCGCTCTATCTAATCCGCTTTATGCGCCTCTTTGGTTCAGAATAACTTATATTAAATACATATTGAAGCATTATGTTGCAACTTCATATGTAAAAAAACATTTACGCCACTGCCTTTGATTGTTGATTTACATCAGTCATGAGTTAAAGGCTTATTATCCATAAACTAACAATGGAAATTGCACACAGCCTGGTAAAATAGAAAATAGAAAAAATTCTTAGATAATATTTCATATCATCGTATATATATCGCTTGTCAAATTTGAGAATAATTGTTTTACGTTTAAAACAAAAGCTGTTTGACAAATGAGATGAGATGATGGAGAGCAATGAAAGTTATTTCGATTCTACAACATAATAAATGTTCGATCAACGAATAGAAAATTTAACGAGACGATTGCCTGTTTCATTTTCGATTATTTTTGTTATATCCATTTGTTACGATTTAATTTATCCTCAACAGAAATTTGATGAAAACTAGTGGCATATATAAGTATATAATTTATATATATACATATATATCAAATTAACTATATATTATATATAATTTATATATATGTATATATAGAAAATTAGGAACATATATTGTTTCTAAACGCACCTATTTATAGTTTTTTTTTTAAAAACGTAATAGCCGGCATTTCTGCTACTTCTGCTTAAAGTAATCGACTTCCTGTCGACACGAGTGCGATTGTTGCAGATAACACTCGCGTTGTTTACTTTTATCCAAATCACATACATATTAGATGCGTTAACTTTGTGCGTAGTAATGGCGTTTCTAAGGACGCAGGGATCCATTTTGCGAGGTCCATAACCAAATCCAGGATGATTTACAGGTCGAACTTTCGCGCGTTTCGCGCACAAACCCGTAATATAAACGTCCTCCAAGTGTAATAGCGGCGTTACCAACGCGGCTTGATATAATTTGGACGCTACACCCATGCTCATAACATATCCTGTGCCAGATAGATAATTTGGGTATGTTTTTTCTGAGTACATATACTTTGGCATATACCTGTGTGATTAAAATTATTATTGTTATATTGTTTTTTTTTTTACGTTTTGATATATAAACATAATTAATCCAAATTAATAAAAAACTTATTATAAAGACTATTATTAATTAAAGACTACTTACCACTTGTTTTTTGGATCTAATATTGGTCTGGCATTGCAAATGAGAGACCCTAAGAGAGTCTCTGTTTTTGGCTTTGAATGCAACGTTTGCAGGAGCAACGGAATATTGACAAACATGTCATCGTCCGTTTTCATGAGGTATTTAGTCTGATCGCAATTTGACATCACCCATTTTAACATCATAACTGACTTCAACGTTAAATTGTTATATGTGTCTAAGAAGCGTTCTTGCACAATATCATTGTACTGGGAACTTTCTTCAACGATTAAATTCTGAATAAAAGAGAACGCAATAAACAAAACAAAAGTCTTGAGAAAAATATAAATTTTATATGAGAACAAACCATGAATACTCACGTTAAGTGTATCGTTGTCACTTTGTCCTAGCAAAAATGCTACTTTTACTGTAAAATTATACAAATTATCTAAGTTATATTTATTTGCCCAGGTGCTTCTAATAGCGGTGCGGGCCTCCTGATTTGCAACAGCCGAACATACAATTATTAACAGATACGGCGGTAGTGAACAGATGCCAGTAGGACTGAGAATTGACGTGGTATTTCCCGGGTGAATGTAAACGCAGAGATCTCTCGATGTATTGTAGGACCATCCGGGTAATTGTGCTGCAAACCAATTATTTACATCGTTAATAAACGTATAAAATTTTTTTTATGTACGTTAATATCATAATGTATGGGCAAGTATGTCAGCAGTAGTTCTCAGAGCCACATTCAGATTTATGATAAAATGTAAGATTGTTTTTAAGTTTTAATTATATATAAAAAGTATTCTATATTCTAAAGTGTTCCTATTAATCTTGTGGCACATTCAGAAGTTATACAAACTAAGTGTTAAATCATAAATACTCACCTACAGATGCTAATGAATGCAAACTGCCAGGGGATTCTGCAGGGGACGGAGTCTCACCTAAGAATGGACTCTGAGCCGAATGATATGCTGGCACATATAAAAGACCAAGTACAGCCAGAATTACAAATCCTACTGTCAAACGTCGAACAAAAGATGACTTGCTTTTAGTGTTTCCAATAGTACTGACTGTGATTGTAGGTAAATCCATAGGCAGTAGCCGCAATCTGTCCATCTAATGTTTTTAAGAACTTATATGTATATATATATACACACACACACACACATACATAGTAAATAATACATGTAATAAATATAGAAAGTTTAACAAAGTATACAATTTAAAAAATGTACAATTAAAAAATATAAAACTGTTTTGCAGATATTATTAAATATTGCAAAGACAACTAAAACGGCTACACCTTTATGTCAATTACTGCTTTATCTTATCAAATTTTATATCAATGTTATCTTATCAATTTTATTTTACATACTTATATTATCAATTTTCTTTTCCATATAATAAAGTTATGTAACATTTGTAAACACAATATCACCTTCAATTCCAAAGAGTTGAAGAGTCTATCCTTAATGATGTTGTACAAAACTAGATGTAATCGGAACTAAGATATAGTCAGAACATTTGTTGTTTTTCCTTATCTCTCTTGATTTTCTCATATCACCTCACCCAGTCTTTATCTGTTGTTAAATATTGCCATGTTTTTTTTTATGTATTTACAAATTGATGTACTCGAGAGTCTGGAAAACACCACAAAAGAGAGCTCAGTATAAGAATCGATTGTATTCAAAGTTGTATTCAAATTAAGTAAACATAGTTAGAACAATAGTCAGTGTATAATAGTGCGTTCTGACGCTAGTTTGTCAAAAATATCGGCGCGTGTTCCAAATGCAAGTGTTACATGCAACCGAAAGTAAATTCCAACAATCCCCATTGCGATGCGAAACCGGGGATACGCAAGGTACCCGTAGGTCACATTTCTCGATCATTTTCAACTTCGCGTGCGTAACCGTTTTGTTCGTGTTTTGCGCAACGGTAACAATGTGTACAAACAGGCGGACCTTACGGTTGTGACGATCGCGCGATCGGTCAGCATCTGATGTTTCTTTATTTACTTCGGTCTTCCTTGAACGATATCGGGGATCGCCGAGTTTATCGTTCGCTACGGTGTAACGTACATATGTAGGAAAAAAGTCGGATATCCATTTGACTAATGATCTCTCGCCTTTCCTCTCGTCCCGATTCTTCTCTTTCCCTCTTGTTTCCTCTTTTCTTGCCTCCGTCGAACTGTCTGTGTCACGCGCCTGCCGGAGGCCGCCGAGAAAACCAAGTGTACAAAGCACTTTGTCATCGCCGCGCGCTTGCGCACCTACAATCAAGTTTTTCGTAATATAATGAGACCGGTATTCGCGGTATAATCTACGCACACTCGACCACAGAATTTTAAACCTGCGGTCGGTTGATTTGCTTGCCGCTTGCGTCACATGCGGAAGACTGTAAAAAAAAATAACAGTCTTATCAAGTCCTTAATAAGTACGTGTGCAGGTAGATGTATGCAACAAAATATATATGTTTAACTCGAGAGCTCGGAACGCGTTGATTGAAAAACAAAACAAAACAAAAAAAAATCATTTATTACAACGACGCATGCGAAGCGAAAAGAAAACCGTTGTTTGACGAACTTTATTACAAAACTGCGTCTTCTACTTCGTTTCTTTTTATTGAAGATAAATTTTTACCGCATAATATAAAAGCGAGAGATTTCTCGCGTATGTGTGTTTGTACAAAACTACTCTTGTCGTCGTCGAATTGTTCTACTAATGCGTTGTACATATTGCGGTAATCGCGAAATCAGTTGCGTTTTGTGCGACCGAAGAAAGTGACAGATGTTATTGCGATAACATCTCTGACTTATCTCTTCCGAATTGCTCTTTGTGTGTTATTTATTGTTGTAAATCATCAGTGATATTTACAGAAAAATAGAAAGGCGTCTTCCCGATGAGACCAGAGAAAAATGAGAAAAATAACAATAGTAATTAATTAACTAATCAGAAATTCGATTTATGGTCGCTGGATTTAACCTGCTCCAGTTCGAATCAATGATTTGAAACGTGTGACGATAATAGAATCGCAAGTTTGTTTGTTACCTGTGAACGATGATCAAGGCGATCTTGGTGTTTAATAATCATGGAAAACCTCGTTTATCCAAGTTCTATCAGTACTTTGTGAGTATAACATAACCTGTATTTTTTGCTCCCTCAATCCCACAAAACATTTAATTTCAAATTTTTTTGTTTTGCTTGACGTTTCTCAATAATTAAATGCAGATTACATTTTACATCTGCTAAGAACAAAATAGTCAAATATTAAAATAGTCATAAATATTAAGTAGCAAATGATATGTAGCGCACAATAAAAATACATTACATTGTTGTTGTTGTTGTTGTTGTTATTATTATTATTATTATTATTATTGCTAATTTGAAAGATATGTTTTTTGCTTCAGAACGAGGATATGCAACAGCAGATAATAAAAGAGACATTTCAGCTTGTCTCGAAGAGAGATGATAACGTGTGCAATTTTTTAGAAGGTGGTAGTCTGATTGGCGGATCTGACTACAAATTAATTTATCGACACTACGCTACGCTCTACTTTGTGTTTTGTGTTGATAGTTCAGAATCGGAACTAGGGATCTTGGACTTGATACAAGTCTTTGTTGAAACCCTAGACAAATGTTTTGAGAACGTGTGCGAACTCGATCTCATTTTTCACGTGGACAAAGTACATTATATACTTAACGAATTGGTAATGGGTGGCATGGTTCTTGAGACCAATATGACTGAGATTCTCACGAGGATCGAGGATCAAAATAAATTAGAAAAACAAGAGGTAAGACCAGCCGTTGTAATCTTTCTTTATCTTAGCTGTGATCTGTTTTTTTTTTTTTTTAACTTGAATCTTTCTGATATTTTTAATATTTGACAATTCACAATGCAATTGAAATGTGGGAAAATTAGATCGGGATTTTGTTTAAAAAAATGTACTCTTGATGCAAAGAAATTTCTTTAAACTTACATCCAAACTCATACTCCACATGTTTGCTACATGAAAGCTGAGCTAGGAAATAGAAATTTGTTAAACTTATTATTGTCTAGTGCGTTTATTTTTTTCTCTCAAGTAAGCTTCGAAATGTTAACACTGCTTGCAACTAGCCTATTCGATACTTTACGCTCTCTAGCTATGCATGCGGTGCGAATATCTGTAGAGCAAATTTGATTTTCGTGAAAAAATTGGTAGGACTGATCGACGTAACATCAATTTTAGGGGACTTACAAATCCAGACGGTCTTATTCACCCCGTCCGCTTGTCCTTCTGGGACCCCCACATTAAATCGACAGTAGCAAATCAGGCCACTTTTGTACAATCTCATTCCTGCATAAAATATGTACATAAAACGTACCTGTGACACGCTCTTGTCTCTGAGATTTAGATTTAGATTTTTTGTGACTAAGATTCTTGAAAGTGTTAAAAAATCCTTTGTGGCTTTATGAAGAGTGAGCGTTAATACGCATGGCGATGCAATTTTATTTTTTGTAATTGTCCGCTGTACCGTGCAAGCAGAGTGCCTTAATAATGTATACGTCGCAATGCTCTATAATAATAAATGCCATCATTTATATTCATCACCGTCACCATTTTGCCTTCGCCTCCTAAAGTTAAAAAGAGAAACCTTCTTAGGCTGGCTAAGATTTTTTTTTTTTTTTCTTATTAAATCTTCCCGAAATTGTGTGTTGTCCACGTTCTTCTCCACACTTCTCTTCCATCCGTATGGTGTGTGCAGGCGGGAATCACAGCAGCGCCCGCGCGTGCTGTATCAGCCGTGAAGAACATGAATATACCACAGCAAATAAAGGATATGAAGCTGCCTGACTTGCCGCAGGCCATAAAAGATCTCAAATTCTGACCAGCCGTAACTTCGTTGGCACCGAGCTGACTGGTCTCTTCTGTCATCCCGAATATAGCCGACACCACCACCACTACCACCACCACTGGCACCACCACCGCGACGAGGACACCTTTTCCCTCCCTTCAAGCAAGCGAAAATGCACCGATGCTATCTGCTTCTTCTGTGTATATCTCGTACTTTCAACGGTACCAGAACTAAAAATGAACTCTTTGTCTGATCCCTTTTGGTCTGGAATACAGTTCCATTGGCGAGAAAAAAGACGCGAACACAGACAGGAAGTCAGTGAAATATATGTGAAAGAGAGAGAATTTCGGAAAATATTTTTGAAAAAAAAAGAAACCTTCTTCGCAACACAGGAGATGTTGCTCAAAGTTTTATACGTACGCTAGGATGTGTATTAAAACAATATCCAGTCCAGTAGATTCAATTTTAATAATATTATTATTGTCTTTCTACACAAAGTAATTCCGCATTCCATCAAAACAAGAAAAAGACGATGTCCACGGTTATTTGCTAGAAATATAAGACATTTAAAATGTTATTATTGCAATGAAAAAATATACTTGCTAAAACAATGTGGCACAAGTGTGTGTATCATTTTCCATCTCTTACAAGTAAGAATTATTTCATATTTACAACACGAACGCAACGTGTGGTTATACACAAACACATACACACGTTTATTCTGACAAGAAATAAAATTGCATAAGAAAAACAGCCTTTTCTCTCACACGTTGTGTAACTCATTTTCTTATTTTTTTTTTTTTTTTTATATATCTCTCTGCTGTACTGAGAGTAAGATCTTGTAAAGATATTTACATATTTGAGACAATACACTCATAGTATATCATTTGACTAAAAATTTGTAGAGATCAACGTATCCGTATAATGTATATTTATATAAATATATATCTGTATAAAAAATTAACAATACATTCCACGAGAATTTAATGCTTTTTAGACAAGGTAATTTCATTTTTAGGAGTCGTCCATATAAAACCTCCTCCTTTTTCCGTCAACGTGGGTGGATACGGTGAATTTTTCAGTTTAAAATAATCCGATGGCGCATGCATTACAAATTCCATACATTCCAATTTCCGTGGCAAATCCTCCTCCGGCCCGATCATGTACGTTTCGGGAGTGAAACCTTCGTCTGGTGGAGGACTAGAGAGCACATGATGTACAAAAAAAAGAAACGCATTATATTTATAATATCTCTGTAATATTTAAATAATATTGTAAGGAAGTGGAAATATAGTAGAACATCATCAAAATTGGAATGAAAATTACCTAGCTGAAGTGGGCATTAGCCAGGTAAGAGCTGCGCTCTTTTCGCAGTACTGATCGGTCAATAAGCCACGTATCTGGGCATAAAAAACACTACCGTCTGTGTCAAGCACAGAAACTACATCTCCAACTTGAAAATATGTGCCCTTGTAGAACACATAGTTGCTCGTGACTGGAGTTGCGGTGGCAGTAGGCGCCTTGATTGGCTGTTGGCAAATCCATATATAAATGATCAATTATTCTGTGAATTCTAATGAGAAATGTTTTTCTTTTTTTTTTTTTTTTGTTTTTTGATATCCTACAGTTTTTCTAATAGAAAAAATATATGATCTTATAAAATCTCTCCTACAATATAAAGATACTCTTATAAATTTGTTTGTTCGCAGATCGATGAGGCCGACGATGTGTTTGCACACTTTAGCATACCGTTTTTTTAAACAAGTTCCTGCGACCCTTGCCCTTGGGAACAACTCTGTACGAGCCTGTTGCCTTTGTGTTGCAATATTTGGTAATCCTGGTGCTTCTCCTAGGCTTCAGCAGGCCGCTTTTGTCGTCATCGTCCGTCTTGGAAGACGTGTGTGCCTCGGCATTCCGTTCGTCCTCCAAGCACGCGTTGCACAGGTTACCAGCATCAGTCGAGTGCCACAACGGCGTCTCCCGAGTCCCGCACTTCACGCATTCCGGTTTATTACCGAGTGGCATTAGACAATCGATCTCCGAATTAGTTTGTTACACTTGGATCCTTAAGAAAAAAACACGATTATATTCAGCCGCTTCTTCTCGTGGTTGGGGTCACGGTGTTTTTCTGGTTCTCGGGCACTAGGGTTTGTTCATGCGCCACCTTACGTGCACCTACTGCGTCTTCTTTTAAAAAACCAGCAACAAAGCGACATAACCTTAAAAAAACATTATTGCTTGATTCCTGGTGTGATTCTGTACTCGCAAAAATCGCTCGGACGGTTGACGAGCACGTTTAAAAAGATTACATTAAAAAAAAACATTTTATATTGCTCAGTGAAAGTTGACAGCACGTTATGTGTCACATAAATAAAAAATGTGTTTTAGATTTAAATAAAATATAAAATAAAAAATTATATAATACGATTTAGCCGGTCGCAATAAATACGAGAAGAAAATAGCAAGAAACAACGAGTTGTACTAACGTAAAATGAGTAACGTGATTCCAAAAGTGACGTCTTACGTTTCTGATGCCAGAGTAGCGTGGAAAGTAACAAATGGCGTGTTTGCCGTTTATAAACCACCAAGCGTCACATATTTAAACACACGATATACTCTAATTAATCGTCTCTGTGAAGGTAGAGAATTATATAATATGTCATAATATTGACGTACAATATTACCAATTGTTTCTGCCTCCGTCTGGTCTTAAGAATAATATTTGTATATTTTTCAAATTTGATTAATACAAATGTATCAAGAATGATATCTGATGTTTTCAGATTTGAATAGCATGAACGTTCGTCCACCGAAACAACATGTTTGCATAAAAGGTGACACGACCAAACGGATGAGAGTAATTACACATCCGAGCTACGCAGATCATCCGTTAGTGGTGGGACCACGATATCAACCGCAAGATTTCAAACTAGTATGTGCTAATTATCTGGGCACGGATGTGTCAGGACTCATGCTTTGTGGTATCAACAAGGGCACCAAATGGATCGACAAACTGAAGAATTCTAAGTCTCCCACTAGTTACAAAGTCAAGGGTATTCTTGGCCAAGCAACAGACAATTATTTTAAAACTGGGAAAATTGTTGAAAAATCTACCTACAAATATATAAAGCGCAAGGATATTGATAGAATATGCGCAGCCATACAGGCTGGTCACCAGAAGAAGATGTTCGAGTATGTTATGTGGATAATTAATTAAAGCACTATAAGATTATTTTTTATTAACAAAGTTTATAACATATATATATATATATGTACATACTCTTCTATATGTCTAGATTGAGCGGAGTGCATATACAGAGTCAAGCTGCATATGAATTAGCTGTACAAGGTCTAATAAGGCCTGCAAACAATAATATTCCAATGATATATACTATAAAATGTATAGATTTCAACTCTCCTGAATTTACTTTAGGTAAGTGTTTGTTATGTTTGTCACATATATATAAAATGGAGATTATAAATTTATACTGATAACAATAATTTTTTTACATATCGCTTTGCAGAAATTGTTTGTATAAACGAAAATGAGATGTATTTAAAAACTATAGTTCATGATATAGGGATGCAGCTTCATAGCGTTGCTACGTGCACGCAAATACAATGCTTTCGATACGCTTTGTTCAACATGAGTGTTGCTCTACTTAAAAAACACTGGGATTTGCAGAATATTTTAGAGAATATGGAATTATGCAACAAGATACTTGAAAAGAACAGTTATTTGTTAAACCAAATCAATCCGATATTGGAAAAGACGGAAGAGAAACAAATGGAGAGTTAATGAGAGAGAAAAAAAGATTGTTTTTAATTCTTTCAATTGCAGAACCCAGCAAATACATTCAAATTTTCAAAAACTACGTTCGTAACGTTCGGACGTGACTGTATAGAAAGTAAATAACACACTGTAAATTTATTATTTTTTATTGATCATATAAATTACATTAATAAAATTTATATACATGTGTATATATATATATATATGTCCTTTTATAAAAAGAATAAGATACACTCCAATATAATCTTTCAAGAGTGTCTAAACAATATAACTGACAAAAATTAAAACTGTTTTTGTCATAAAAGAAAAAACTATATAATACTAATATAACTGTATAATATAATTTAATTATATATACATGCTACAAAGGACTACTTGATTCTTTCGTGTGTTCGTGCTCTATATAAAAACTATATATATATGCATTTACTATAAGCGCGAAGATTGACTGACAAGAGCGTTTAGTTCTTTTTTGTAGTATCCCTTTTTTTCGAAGCAGGCTCTCTGCTACGACTCCTCCGAGTTTGACAAGAGTCGTCCGAATCGTCGTTGGATCTTTCCGATCTGTCGTTGGATCGTCCCGATCTTCCTCTTTGTTTCTGTTTGATCGGCCACTGCTGCATCTTCATGCTTTTTGCTATCACGCGTTTTTGATGATCCAGTTGTGGGAACAAGTCTGCAAAAATCGTGAAATAGATATACAGTAACAATAACACACATAGAAAGAATCATTACTTTCGTTTTTCTTTGCGCGTATGATACTTTGAGATTTTTCCAGAGCCTCTTTAGCCGAGTTCATTTCCGCCTCCTGGATGCTGTGTCCCGACGCCTTGGCCAGTCGTTTCCCTTGGAAATAAACAGCTACGGTGTAAACTCTTGTATTAGTGGGTCCTTTGCATTCAATGACTCTGAAATCAAAACGAAACAAAAATTAACAAACAGTAACAGAGAAGTGAAAAAAACCTATCATCGAAACACATATTTCCTGCCGGGGTCGAAAAAGAACAGAACTCACTTGTACACTGGAATATCTGGTTCTCCACCGTCCATAGTTCTCAAGGTCAAGCAACATTGTTGCAATTTACTCTTCGGATCGTTCCATTCCTGATTCATGATAAAATCTTGCAAACGTGGGAAGAAACACACGTCGCAAAACACGTGACAATACTGCAAACCTTTATCGACGTAAAGCGCGCCGAGGAAAGCTTCGAGCAAATCCGCTCTGTCTTTCGTTTTCAATTCGGCTTTCGGATTGCCGTAGAGTGCGTACTGGGTCATACCCAAATCGTCGCACACTACTGCCTGCGTTTTATTGTTCACCAGAGAGCTTCGCAATAACTACAGGAAAAGTGTTAGTCAAATTGTGATAGAAAAAAAAAAATAAAATCAGGTCGAAATAATAAATTATTTACTGATAAATGTCCCTCGTGATGTTCCGGAAAGAACTTATACAGATATTCCGAAACAATGAGCTGCAACACGGTATCCCCTAGAAACTCCAATCGTTGATTAGATCCTAATGTTAGATTGGTGTATCCGATGCTACGATCAGTGAACGCTCTGGCAAGGAGACGGATGTGAGTGAACTCGATTCCAATTGACTCTTCGAACTTGGTCAATTTCTGATAACACAAGAGATCACGTATAGAAACATGTTCTTCGCAATTAAGGTGGTTGATATGTAAAATTTGCACCTACCTGTAGCAGCTCGAAACTCGGAATCCACTGTCTGTCTCCCGTCGGTTCCTGTTCTTGAAGAGGATGACGTGGATAATTGACCCAAACCGTGGCGAGATCATCTTCATCTTTGAAAAGCGTTTCGCCAAAAACTTTATCAGCAACCTCTATCCCGCCGTCGAGAAACAGCGAGCCCATCAGCGCTTCGAAACAATTCGCCATCGCGTGTCTCAGCTCCAGATCGTGGCAGAGATCGCTACCGTGGGCGTAGAGCATGTACTCCTCCAAGTTCAGTTTCTTCGCCAACACGGCGAGATGTTGATTTTGCACGATCGCCGCTCTGTACGTAGCCAGTCCGCCTTCCTCCAGGTCCGGGAACATGTGAAAGAGATGAATAGACGTGATGAACTCGACGACCGCGTCGCCCAGGAATTCCAATCGTTCGTTGTGCGCTATTGACGATTCTGTTTCCGTTTTCGCGCCGAATCTGGACATTATATTTATCAGAGTGTTGATACCGCGTTTTCGTGTGTTCAAGTAATGGATCCTGCGATCGCCGTACTCCGGTTGTCTTATGCCGCAATTCGTTAAGGAGTTTCGCGCGTGATCCGGATTTGTGCCGAAGTTCTCGCGATAACTGGGATGCGTGAGAGCCAGCTGGAGCAGGTATCTGTTCTTGAAGCTGTATCCCAATATACGTTCCAAATTGTCCAACGACTTGTGAAACCTCAGATGACAGACCAACACCGGTATAAGCATCGCGTGCTGCACTATGTCGCACATAATGCCGGTTCTATAAAATCCTTCGGAGCTAACGTCCACCGTCACATCGCGTTTCATTTTACTCTGCGTGCGCAATTCCTGCACCCTGTTTTCCTTCGCTTCCAATTTTCTTTTATCCTCGAAAGACGGTTTTGACATGTTCGCGAGCAGATGACGAAATTTCACATAATCCCTCCACGCTTTTTGATAACTAAATAATAAATTTACAGAAAATTTATTGATCTTAATTAAACCGAGAACACATATATAATTTTGTAACCATCATGTACGATACTTACTCCGCATTTCCCGCATAGCTGAGTTGCGGCGGACGAATACCAAAATGTACTATTTCGGGATATGCAATAGACGACTGGTTTCCTTGCTCAGACTTGTCGTGATTCGCTTGGTTTCTGTCCAGCTGATCGACGCGAATGCTGCACGGTTTCTTGCCGGGATAACATACGACCATTCCCTTCACTTGATCCGCAAAATCCTGCCACAAGTGCTGCGGCATGGCCACCAATCTAGGCAAATCGTCCGGATCTATCAGTAGCGTGCTGCTTTTTATCAAGTAATTAAGAACCTCGTTCATCGACAAGATTTCTTGTCCGTTGTCAGCCAAATCGCGCACAAATCTTGGCATAAAATGGAACTGGCCGCAACCAGATTTGTCATGTGCCGCGTGCAAGTCAAAGTCGACAAGCTCCAGAATTTCTCTGAACAAGTACATTTCTGAAAAAATTAATCGCAAAATATTATTTAGAAAAATAAAAAACCGTAGACAGATAAAAAATAATTTGTGTGGAGCTTTTTACTTACGGAAGCAATCGAGTTCCATTATCGTAAAATTTTCTGGCAATTTTTCCTCTATGTAAAGAATCGTGTATTCAATGTTGAATCTTATGACTTTACACGTGGGCAATTTAACAAGAGGAAAATGAGAGAGCATGGAAAAGCCCTCGAATATAAACTCGTGCTCGTCATGTTTGATAATGGTCGGTGTTTTGGTGAGAAAATTGGTCGGTGGACTGATGGTTATTCTGTAGTGATACAATTTATCCGCATTGTTCGAATTCAAGTCGCATTTGTTTATAGCGCTCTCTCCCGCGTAAATTCCGTGTCTTATACCCGAACGCCGTGATTTCGCGCTGCATCTACACAAGGGACCGTCATTCATCTGTGAAAAGAAATTTGTGAATTTGACATATTGTCAAAGAGATGATGAGAAATGAGATTGAAGAAACAATCTGAACACACATACCTCTCCAGGATCGTTGAACCACATTTCAGGATGCAATCTTTGCGGATGTTGTTTCTTCGCCATTAGCTCTTCCATTGCTCTGTCGTCCTCGTCCGTGGAGCTGTCACTGTCAGACGAAGAACTACTGCAAGCTTCGGACTTGTGAGGACACATGCGCGCTTTGGTTTTTCTTGGAGGTGGTTCGTAAGGCGGCTAAACCGAGAGAAATGTTTAGATTAATAAAGTACATTTAGAAAGAAAATCTCTTTCTTGTGTGTATTTCATTAACAGATTCGGAAAGTACCTGCAATGCTCTCGCTGCAGCTGCTCTGTCGATCAACAGTTTCTTGAATGTTGCGCACAATTCTTCTAGTTTGGTGGTACTTTTCATTAGTTTCGGATTGTTCTCGTCTCTGACATAGTAGAGATCCGCTGGTGCTGTACGCGTCCAAATCCTCTTCTCATTTTCAAGTATACCCTCCGATCCGATTGCTGACAATTCATTTAGTTTTCGCTGTATGTCCTTACTGGTTGCGCAGTAATTACGTCTACGATGCGAAATTAAAAATTTATTGCTAAAATCTCACAAAGCATACACATAGACATGTCCAATCTATACAAAAAATCTGTATTTCTTACCTGTATTTCTCTAAAATTTGCTCTCTCTCGGTGAGAATCTTTTGTTTTCTGGCATTGGATATTGGCGTCGCGTCTCTCGAATACGATTCTGGCGATCTCGATCTTTTTCTCCTTCTGCTACTTACTTCAGACGATCTATCCGAATGAGATGACATATAACTTCTGTCTCTCTTGTGTTCAAACTTTCTATTATAATATCCGCTATCATAAACCTCTCTCGATGAAGACTTCTCTTTGCTGTGGTAACGATATGTGCTTCTGTCGTCCTTGTATCTTGATCTGTAACTTTTTTCTGATCTATCATCCGGACTTCTCGATCTTCTTCTGCTGCTCTTGTAATCGAAGACCTTTCTACTTTCATACTTCCACTCGGTCTCCTTTGTTCTTTGAGGAAATTCGTAAGTTTGCGGATAATATGATTTCTTGTTTTCATAAGCTTGGTTTGTATGATGCCACGTGGTTTGATGACCACTACTCTCGTGCGTTGTCCAATTTGATGAAGAATAATTGGAATTCCACTCATTGTTATGATATACATCGCCAGTCTGGTTTGTATTATTGTAAGTTTCGTGCTCCGAATGTTGCGCGGAATTCACTCCGCTGTAATACTGATTGCTATACTGATTATTGTACTGCGAATACACCGGATCCTGATAAGACACATCGTTGTAAGAATTGGCCGTCTCGTTGTAATACGAAGAAGGCGCGGGAGGATATGCAAAATCTATTGGTTTAACATTTGACACGTTGGGAGGCGGTACGTTGTAAGAGCACGAAGTGTTGTAAGTCGATTGATACTGGGACTGATCATCGTAAGCGGACAGCGAAGGGAAATTTGCTTGAGGCGGTAGAGATCTCGACGGAGCTGGAGGTACGGAATAGTACTCCTGCTGCGGAGGCACGCGATTGTTCCAATAATTCATCTGTATAGTGTCTTACCGACGCAGGATTCGCCCTCTCCTCACCACGAAGACGTTTTGTCTGAGAAAATTTTTTTAACAAAACACGCATGAGCTCTGAGGTTTTTTTCAACCTTGATTCATCTTATCGACGATAATCTTATAAAATAATCTCACCTTCTTAGGTTACTCGTTGATTTGTCCCATTATTTTCTTCTGTATCACAACAATAAGATTCTTAACCTCACGCACCCATCGCTCTTTGCGGACCTGAAGTTGTCATGGAACTACGCGTAGAACTTTCGTGACGGCGCTAGTGTGTCCGTTCAGCAGAAAGAAAACTGATACACTAGTGAAAAATTGTTTAAAAAACCTTTTTTCATTTTCTCACGAGTTTATTCAATTATTGAAAACCTTTTGTTTGTCAAGTTTGATAAAGCGCGTTCCACAAAAATAGTTTAAATCATTTTTTGTCTATAATTTTTTAAAGCTTTTATTTTTAATTGTTTTAAATATAGATAATATTACATAACGGAGTACGTTCACTTTGTCATAAAAACGTAGATACAGAAAAGAAGAAAAAGTTTTTTTTATTAATTTTTTAACAGTTTATTCAGAACTCCTCAAGTTCAATTTTTTTTGAAAATACAACAAGAATAATTGCTCCTCCTGTTATTGTACAAATGAGAAAAAATCATCTTACACATTCTATAATAAATATAACGTGTAATTGCACATATATTCACTATTATAATAGCAACTACATTTTCGTACACGTGCGTTCGATCAAACAATCTTATAATCAATTTCTATATAGTTATTAATACACATATTTCTACAGTTATTTATACACATATATATTACTATGTGAGCTATCGACTCGATTTTTAATTTCACAACACACCTACGGAAATCTTTTTAGTAAACTTTTTTTGTTTCCCGCGGAAAAACGAAAATATTTTACGCAATATTCTATACATAACGTTAATCTTTATTAAAATTTATCATTAAAACGTTCTTCGATTTCCGTAACAAGATACGGCATTTTGTTTAGCTGCCACCGTAATACTGAAAATACACGCAGCTGTATATCGTCGATACAATGTATATTCTAATTAATAATATATATACGTATAATAATACATAAATTAATTTAAAAAATGATTCTTAAATAAACTATATATAAACAAACCAGAGCAATCAATATACCTATGCATTCAACGCAAAACCTCTGGGAACAGCTTTTGTTACAATAAACACAAATTTGTTTTTACGCCAAGAGATTTACGCCGTTAAATCTAAAGTAAATTTACAATTTCAAATATCGCGAGATAAATAAGAGTAGAAAAAAAAGCGAGGATAAAAAATCATCCAAAAAAGCACCGCAACACGTGGATTTGTAGAACTTCTAAAAATAATTATCGTTTTCGTTGTTATTTTCGACAGATTCTTTCTTGGCCGCTATCAAGTTCTCCCATTGCGCGATAAGCGTGCTACGACGTCGTGGATTAGGCTAGACATATATAGCAAAAATTTTATCGCTTATTAAAAATAACGTTATTGAGATAAAAATATCATTAGGTTTTTTATAAACATATAGTTACTTCGATAAAGATCACTTAGATTATCTTATATTTCAAAGATTTCTCTTTACCTTGTGTTTTCCCTTGTTTTCTCTCTCGATCTCGTCCTCGTTCAGAGTGTTGGTGGAAGTGCCGCTTTTAAGCGAATTGGAGCCATCGTAGATATCGGAATCGTTATCGTTTCCTATATCGAGTAGATTCGGCTGAGACTTGGCCAGCATCTGCGATCTCATCAATCTGAGAAAAAAAAAAAAAAAGATTACTGCAATCTCTCGTCGATTGCGCGAGAATGCAATCGAGTTCGATTTTTTTAAATAAGAAACGGGCAACAAAATTTACCTTGGCAATATGGTACAATCCATAATACTTCCTTCGTTTTGCGCATACAAAGATATTAAACAAATTTTTAAGAATTCAAATGTTCTTTAAAGATCTAATTTGTGTGTTAAATTTTTTTTTTATATTTCACAAATCTAAGATCTTCAACAATTATAGTCCGAGTCGAAAAACGCAGTTTTTTTAAGTTAAAACTCTGTGTGTGTTGCAAAAAACATTTAAAAAAAAAAAAAAATATCAATATACCTCAATTCGTTCTCTCGTTCCTTCATGTCGTGCAACTCCTTCTGGATCTTTTGCTCGACGGGAATGTATCCCTTTCTCGCCATTGGCTTCTTTGGCTCGTCATCCGGATCCAATTGTATCTCCAACGTTCTGTTGAAGGCTTTGATGCTCAGCGGATTGAGCGCGATAGTTGGCGTGATTGAGGAACCCAGATTGTCGTTGTTCGCCGATTTGGTCTTGTAGATCTTTCCCCGTGTGGCCAGAAACCTGTGCATCAAACCCTTCTGGCTTGGCGCGCTTGCGAAGCGCAACGGTTGCGGGGTGGTGCGCGTGGATATCACACCGTTCGTCATCTTTGGCGGCAGGTTCGACGAAAACGATGTCAGACTAACCGCCTCCAGTATCTGCGGCGTGGACGTTGTTCTCTTCAGCTTGCCCGATGATAGAGCTTGAGGCATGCGACGCACCTGAACGCAGATGTGCAGCAGATCGCTAATTAAATATATTACGCGTCAAAATACAAGTGAATCATCTTTCTCTCTAGAAAGACAAATTTCCCAAGTTTTCCGAGAAACAGTTTTATCTCTTCTTCAGATAGTGTTTTTTTTTTTTTTTTTTCAGGAAGAGAGAAAGACTCAAATGTTATTTATTAATATTATTTTTTATGCGCACAATAAACAATTGCAATATAGATACATCGATAATTCGGAAGTAAAAAAAACAAAAAAAATAAATAAATAAAACAAAACTTACACACGGACTAGAATTTTATCTTATATTAAAGTTTGACTTTTTTTTTATTTTTAAGACATACCTTGGAATCCACCGTTTCGTGAGATATCGTCTTAATGCTACCCACGTTCCGCAATTCGTGCTCCCTCTCGGTAACTTCCTCGATCTCTCTTTGTATTCTGTCCGTTGCCCTTCTCAGTTGTTCCGATCTATGTTCGGCCTGCGTGCACTCACACAAGAAACTTCTAAGTACAACAATGCTGCTAGATTTTTCTAGAGATGCAGACGAATTGCTCGCTGCAACAACGATCTACCGCATTATTAATTGTCGCAAGAACAAACAACGACGCGAGCGTTATCATCATTTTATCTCTCGAATTAAAAAAACGTCGTGCGTTTTTTTTTTTTTTTTTGCAACTATCCGCGCGACACGTCATATAATATATCGTAACTGATAAAACAACATTTCCTGAAAAAAAAAGATACAAGCGGAACCGAAATTACGATGGAAGCGATAACGATCGCGTCGAGAGAGCGAGAGCGAGAGAGAGACAGAGAGAGAGAGAGAGAGAAAGAAACTCAAGGCTATGGTGAAGTGATTTTCAAGTGTCTATCAATAAATCCGTATCTCTATTCGCGCTTTTATCGCGATCGTGTACCAGCTTTGCTTTTGTTCTCGTTGGCTCATTCCCGCGCGGTCTGAGGGATACTGGTAAAATCGAGTCTCTCACAAAAGGGACGCAACTGTGGTGATGTGAGACCGGTAAGGAATGCAGTCCTCAGAAAACTGAACGAATGCTGAGGAGAGGAGCAACCGCTTTAACTGTAATCATCATTTCCTTTCTAAAAGAAATAGGCCAAGAGAGACTCTTCCTCAACACCGGCTCTCTTTCGTCGTTCTCTCCTCCAATGTGCATCTCATTTTTGCCTCTTTTCGAGAACATCTCGATGACCGACTTATATATCGATACCATCTTCTCTCGGCATTATTAACATTCTTAACATACTTAAAAGTATATATAGCGCGTTTTAATAAACCTCTCCCCCTCTCTCTTTCCACTTTCGTATGCTCTCTCTTTTTCTTTTTCTTTCTCTCTCTCTCTCTTCAGTGTGTTTTATCTTGTACAAAAATTGTGTACATGTTACATTAACGGAATTTTTTCTTCTCTCTATATTTTTCGCCTTCTCTCCCTTCTCTCTTATCAGATATCCGCGTACTGGATATATTGTGAATTGTGATTTTATTTTATTACACGAGATTTTGCTTACTAAGAGCTTTTGCAGATTCTTATCGATGCCGTGTTTTCGATTCCGGATACGTGTTCATTGAAGAATGTTGATTTATCCAAACGGAAAGTATATCGTTCAAATATACACATACATATATGTGTATATACATGTATGTATATAGACGTATACACAAACACACTTATGTACGCATAAATTGGAAGCTGTATGCAAATGTTTCATGAATAAAAATGTGTTTTTTTTTTTCAACGGTTCTCAGTATTTCCTTGTGTAATGTTAACGTTTAAAAATTTATTTAAAACTTTTCATTAAAAACTCGTTTATTTCTCTGAATTTCTAGACGTAATATTCATTAGATATATCTGCAATGAACGTTAACAAAAGTGTGTTTATGCTAGATATAATTGATTATCCATTTGAGAAAGTTTGTATGAATGTTGTTTCGCGTGGGATTGTTTCTCTATCTCGAAAATGTCAAGGGAACAGATAAAATAATTCCACACACACACACACACACACAGCTATGGAGATTTCATTTAAATTAATTAAAAACTTGTGTTGTAGAGAAGTGTAAAAGCAGGCAACCGATTCGTTCGTGAGCATAGTCCGAGTTAGTCTTATTTCTTTTTCAGTTATACAAAATTTTCTTCTCTGCGGAAAATAAAAATTCAAATTGTAGAGATTTTTTTTCGATTTTAACGTTTAATTTTCATCATATAACGAAACAGATATTACAATTTGAAGTGAACTGTCATAGAAAAGCAGCGTGTTAATTTAGATTCAATTTTTTTGCTTTGTTAAATCTTGTTTAGTTAGAGAAAAAAACCGCATCGCGTTCGTGAGTTTTTATCTGTTCTGATTAGACCTTTTGCGCTTTCCTCCATCTTTTTTAGCTGGGTGATAATTATATACATATATATATATATAATTTTTTTTTTTTGTTTTCATAACGGACGTACCTCCATTTCAATCGTCGATACGGGGGAAGACCAGACCGGCGACGATGACGGATTTAAACTGAAACTCTCTTATCAAAATCGAGTTCCCGAACAGGTACAAACGGAGCGTCGACCTCAAAATGGGGAGCAATTTTCGTGCGTTTTATCTGATCGCGATGTTTGCCGACGAGTAACAAGTCCTCCGCTTATTATCATGCCTCGCGCAACCAATTACGTCACTTGCTCAATATTTACACCGACGGCACGTACAATGCCGCACCGCAGCACCGACGACGACGACGAAAACGGCTGTCGCCTCTCCTAAGGACTGCATACAGCGCATCTCATTCCTCATTTTCTTGCGGGTTTGAGAAGCGGGTTTTTGTCCCGACCTTGGAATCCGTATTATACGGTTGAGGAGCGCGATACAGAACTGCTATATTATTATATATCACTATTACTTCCTCTCTTTCTCTCTTTCTCTTTCTCCTCGCGTTGTCTCTTTTTTTTTGCGGAATATTTCTACAAAAAACACATATTATTGATTCTTTTATTCGGAGTTTAATTTTTTTTTTTTTTTTTTTAATAAATCTTATAATCGCGTGCACTTACTTAGCGCGCAATTTAATTATTTATGAACTTCAATTAAACCGAGAAAAGCACCGCTATTTCTATGCGCTCTTGCCACATGCAACCTGTTGCTCCTGTTGCGAGTAAGTAACGCGTTTGCATCATTTCCCAGCACCGTTCGGGTGCTCAACGAAGCGTTAACATTTTGTAACACCGTGATTGAGATGTCACGGGTGTTAATACACATACACATGTACGGTGTATAATTGAGATTTTTTAATTTACCGAAAGATTTAATTTGACAAGACGAGACGTGAAAAAAATTCCGAAATACGAAAAAACTTTGTCGCGCACCTTGACACAGTTGCGTATTTTCACTACTTCCTACGTTTCCGCGCGACTGTCAAAAATCCGTTCGAGAGCGACGATTCTCCGAAAGAGCTTCGTTTCGAGGAGAGTGTCAAGGAAAAAACGGATGTCCAACGCGTTCGGTCGCGTCGCGAAAATCAGCGAGAACCAACCTTCCGTGACGCGGGTATAACAACAAGTGGTAGCGCGACCGGCAGGGCAAGCCGGTGTCACACTGCGAATCAGGATCGAGATTGCATTTCGAATTTAACCAATCGAAACGAAACGAACCAATTCGAGTTTGGGTGAACTTCGATCTGATTGGTAATGCGATACCACCCTAAGGGGTACCTTACCGCTCATGCGCGGTCATCAGGCTAACCGTCTGCGTGTGTTTACATCGTTCCAGCCTGGGTTCTGACGATGTGACGGATCATTTTTTTGTTTCTTGTAAAACTAGGCTTTTTGGTTTCGCACCTAAAAACGCATCGAATAAGTAGAAATTTTGACAGGGTTCGAGGTGGTGTCCGTCCATCGTACATCCATCCGTTAGTTGTTTGATCGCCGTTTGATTGCGATAATTTTATGTCAACTTGATAACGATGATCGAAGTTTGGTCATCATGTCAACAGTCATCGAGATTGACGACAGTTCGCACCCGGTTGAGGAGGACGGTCGTGTCATCGTTACGATTGACCGAATTGACTTGAGGGTGACGTATAATGATTTCTTCTCCGAGTATATGATACGCAACAAACCGTGTGTCATCAATCTAGAGGCAACCGAGAACTGGCCGTGCAGACGTGAATGGGTGCTCGACGGAGCGCCAAATTTCGAAGCTCTACGCTCGTTGTTCGGTACGTGGAAAATAGAGATTAGAGACCTGTAACCAATTTGTAATGTAATTTACATTGTCCCAGAACGCTGCGTTGTCCCAGTCGCCGATTGTAACAAAAAGTTCTACAACTCGCAATTCAAAGACGACATGTCCATGGAGAGTTACTTGAAATATTGGATCAGTTACAAGCAAAACGATTACGCCAGATCGATGCCTCTGTTGTACCTGAAAGATTGGCACTGCGTGAGGAACTTTCCCAATGTTCCGATTTACGAAGTGCCTCGATATTTTGCGTCCGACTGGTTGAACGAGTATTACATCGCTCATCCCGAATTAAATGACGATTATATGTTCGTTTACATGGGACCAAAAAACACATGGTACATTTTATGTACTTTCAATAATACAGTCTTGTAAAAAACTTGTCCAGTTTGTTTTTTTTTTGACTGTTGCTGTATGTAAATGTGCTTAGGACTCCGTTACACGCGGACGTTTTTACATCGTACAGCTGGTCCGCGAATATAGTTGGGAGAAAGAAATGGTTATTCTTCCCGCCGCATGAGGAATGTTATCTTCGCGATCTTTACGGGCAGTTAGCGTACGACGTGATCTCAGAAGAGCTTAATGATCGAACAAGATACAAAATGTATGATAGTAAAAAACTGAAATGTTTCAATGTGATTCAAGAGGCAGGAGAGATTATATTTGTGCCATCCGGATGGCATCATCAAGTTTGGAATTTGGTAAATATGATTGAAAGAGAAGTTTTTTGAGAGAGTTTGGATTAGAGACACGATATTAAGTATCGTGTGCACTCCCCCTCCCCTCTCTCTCTTTCTCACTCGCTTGTTATGTGCAGGAGGATACAATTTCCATTAACCATAATTGGATCAATGGCTGTAATATCATGAATGTATGGTGTGCGCTAAAGAGCGAATTAAGGTCCGTCATGAAAGAAGTTGACGATTGCAAGGACATGAAAAACTGGAACGAACATTGCCAGCTGATGCTGAAAACCTCGTACGGCATGGACTACAAACAATTCTTCGAGTTAATATCATTTATTGCTAAGAATCGTTTACATGCTATGATAAAAAAGAGCCAAGTTGTAAGCTTCAATAAGTATTGTTTCGGACGAAATCACTGTTTGTTTGATCTGCAAGCACTGAAAAATGTATTGGAAAATATTATCGCGGACGCTCGAGATTTATCCGTTTATGATTTAATGTGTGAAAACGACGAAGCCTGTGTATTATTGAAAAACATTACTTCATTTCTCGAGTCCTCCTGTTCAACATCGGAGAAAAAAATTGACAATCTCTCGAAAACGTGAAACGCGGAGCAAATTTGTCGCCGAACGTGCGAAACAATCTTTGTTGCGAAATTTTTGTCTTTTGTTTTTGTAATTAATATAGCTTGCACTTTCTCAGTTTGCCATAGCAAACGTTCCTATGCAGATGATATCTCTAGAGTTTTATAAATCTGTGTGCCTTAACTTTATTTAAATTTTCTCTTAAAAGATAACACTTTGCAACTTTGCGTTCTACAAAATTATGTCTGTACAATAAGCACACGTTATTAGATCTAATTATAGCATACGCAATTATTCACATAATCGTGAAAAAAAATTGTAATAATTCACAATTCAAAGAAAAGACTTTAAATGATTATTTGCACAGTGTAAACTATGACGCGAAAAAGCAATGTATATAATCTTATATTATATAATAAAAAGAAAAAAAATATATATATATAATTATTAGTATAAATTACATTAAAAACTCTCTTACAGAGAAAAAAGCGTGCGTAAAATAAATCGTTAATCCTAAAAAATGATTAAACATAGAAAAGTGTAATTTAATTGATCATGTATATATATATGTATATACTATTCTGTAAGTGTAACAATTTACAATAAAAATTTAATCTAATCTCTATCAAGTTGTGGTGTAACTTAATAAAAAGATACTTCTATTGCCTGTGAAAATAAAGTAAATCTCGCGAAAACGTAACGTAACTTATTTATAGAGCTCTTATGTATTGTCTTATTTACTATCAATTAATGTAATTTTATATTCCTATATCTAAAGATATAACTGTATATATATATGACCGCGCGCGTGTGTGCGTTTATATATGCACATGTATGTACACACACCAGTGAACACACACAGCGCATACAACATGGCTCTTATATACTCTTAATAAAAATATACAAAATTTATGTACAAAATGTGTCTCACTTGCTTTCAGCAAGAAGTGATTAACATACCAATTAAAAGACTACTTTTAGACCTTGATCCGATCAAATTAAATTTTCGTAATCCTTGCTTATCTATATATACACACATACTTTTACATAAATTTTTGAAATATAATATGTATTATTTATATGCGTGTGCGCGTAGACTACTTATATATTCATTTCCAAGTACATATGTGATTTATATCCTTCCAATGTACGCTAGAATTTATATATATATATAATAGATCTACATGTATATATGTATATAGATCTTATGTGTGTAAGGATTATGAAAGTTTTTATCACTTGATCAACGCGGTTTTTCAATTTGTGAAGAATTTTAGATAATCTTAGCTATTGACTATTGACTATTATAAAACAAAAAAACGAAATAAGACAGAATTCACAATTTGTCTTGTTTGCGTATATAATATGCATGTGTATTTACTAATCAATATAAAAAAAGTGTTTTCTTTTTGTTTTCTTGCTAGAAATTTTGTGTTTTTCCTGATATATATATATATATATCTGCTTACACACTGATACGAAATATTGCACCGGCAAAGCTATCTAAAACCGAGAAACTTGTGGCTCTTGATTCTTTCACGTGTTCTCGAGTATAAAAGAAAGATATTGTCATAGTTGAAAATATTGTTGAGCGCTTTTAGTTTTGAATAAAATTTTTCTTCGAAGATACAAGTAAAATGAAAACTTGCAGAACTCTGTGTACACACACATTCTCTCTCCCGTTTAAATTCAAAATCTCTTTTTATACTTTTACAAAGTAAAGAAAGAAAATATTGTGAATTGTTTGTTTTCCACTTACGTTGAGTATATATCTACTTAATGGATTATATTTAATATAATCTATTAAACAAATATATATGTATACATATATATATTATTTGAAGCATTGCATCTCTCACAAAGTCCGAGATATTGACCGACAACAATTAACCACTACTACAACATTCAGACTTTCTGCAATGCGCGCTTATTTATCAGTAAGCAAATTCATTTATGTATCTGTATATTTTTGAATTCGTTTCTCAGTGTTGGTTTTTTTTTCGTTTTTTTTTTTTTTTGCAGCTATTGACATAGAACAGAGGCCGAATGAACGTCGATCGTCGCAGTTCTATCGATAAAAAACAGTTCTTAAAGATTCGAAATGTAAATAATACACTTTAAGCCATCAAAGAGTGTTTCGTCGTCAAAACAAGTACTTAATGCTGACTATAAAGTAACGTGTTTTTTTTTTTTTTTTTTTTTTAGTAATGTCTTCATGTATATATTACGATCGTTTAATTTCTGTAGACGGAACTCTCGTATTCGTACAGTTGTTGTTTATGTTATTTTCACATCTGCTAAGATATAAAATAAACATTTCCTTAACGATCATAAGTTATATTACAAGAAACAACGTATTAGATTGTATCTTTAAGTGCGAAAATTCTATTCGTGTTTTCTCTCTCGGAAAACATCGATTCAAAAATTATACAGGATGACTCGGTAGCGTCTGTACGGGTGGCACAGTTGGTGTTGCTGGCGTCGTTGGCACAGGTACTGGTGTCGCCGGCATCGGTTGATGTGTCTGTCTCGGCGGGGAAAGCAACTCCTGTCTATCTCTCTCCCGTTCCCGGCCAGGTCGCCACGCTTCCAACAGAGCTTCCACGCGCTCCTCCGTGGGTCCCCATTTCGCAGCACCAGCTGGATTTTGCAACCAGACAACCAACGTACCGTACACCGCCCGGATATTTACCTCATTTCTGGAATAGAACGAGAATGATCGTCACTTAACATCTCATGTGTGTCGATAATATTGTGAATGCTACATCTATTTGTGATTTGCTTAACGTACTTTGGAATAATATGCTGAAATCCATGTCTGTATTCGTGTTCCATAGCAGGCACGACCACCTGCTTGCGTTTGAAGTGACTACTTTCAAGCTTGATGAGCGCATTAGGAGCCGGATCTCGCCATTCGGGTAAAAACACAATGAACGACAAAGGTTCCGGTGAGTCGGCTAAAAGCCGTTCAAAATGATTGACCATCGCTTCCATCAATTCCTCACAATGGGGCGGATTCGCTTCAAACGATCCGGTTACAGGCCTGAAGTCCAAGAATGGTCCTCTCGATCCGAAATACGAATCGGTGTCGGCAAACGCCGAACAATACTGACGAAAGTAACAATTCAGAGGCGAGGCAAAACATTCAAACGTAACTCCAAAAGATCTCTGAAGACATTCGAACACCGTTACCGGAAGAGCCATCTGCGTCGCTTGGCCCTCGTTGATTCCGAAGTACGTGTAATAACGTTTCAACATGCACCAAACGCGCGGCAGAAACATTTCAAACTTTTTGTCGTCGAAACAATTATACCTATATAACTGTTCCAACTTGGTGAGGTGCGGATTGTTAATATACACGGCGTCACCGTGAAAGCGCACCACCGTCTGATCGCGCTCGGGAATATAATCCACCTGCGGAAGTCTTGGAGTTGGGAGAGAAAATTGCACTGGATAACACCAAACTTTTCTCTGCGTGCTAGCCGGGCCTCCTAACGGTATGACATCTCCCAAACCATTATCTTTGAGAATTTGATTGTTCTTGTCCTTGACTTTCTTCGCGTATTCCGTTGACAGGTGATAAATTTTCAGACATATTCCCTCGACACTGGCTTTAACGGTCTGTGTGAGATGTGGTTGACATTGTCGCTTCAAATGGGCAAGCCTGTCTTGAAAATCGTCGAACGTTGCGCCCACAGTTCTTCTCAGCCACTGGAAAGTATCCTCCGCGTTCCACTTCACCACTTTCCGGCTCTCGGACGACGCCGCTCTGGATTCAATCATCTTCTTTGCGGCTTCGGCGTAGCGCGACAGCTGTTTTCTCGCGTCTCCCGTGAACTTGGGCTTTACCAATTTAATGGGAATATCGTTCATGATCTCACGATACATAGACATTGAGATTTCGGGGAAGCATTGACTCGGCAACAGCGGATCAGAACCGCAATCGATCACTTTGCGCTCCATCAGCCATCTATTGAAGGAATCTTTCGGCGCGTCTATCGACTCGCGAGTGTGACACAATTCTTGATAGCATTGTCGTAATCTCGCTAACAAAGCGCAGCGCAATGCTTCAACTTCGGGATGAACGTGAAGCAAATTTGACGGCGCTCTCTCATATATTACCACATTCGTGCTTATTTCTAAATCCCACGGGCCTCTGGTGAATAAAAAATATTTTAAAAATTATTTATACTCGCGCCTTACGATAAATGATTTTAGTGCAAATGTCACAAATTAGACACATACGCTAACACAAATTTCTTTGCCGGCGTAACAACTCCTTCCTCCGATGCTCGCCGTTTCAATGTTCCTCCTGGTATACTGCCCGAAATAGCTCCGTTTCCAGGAGGAGGAGGAGGAGGAGGTGGTGGTGGTGGTACACCACAAATACCAAGAGGGTCCGTGATTGGATCAAACTTTGATACAATACGCATGTTAAATTTTCGCTTTTTGTTAGAAAAAAATATTTTGTTACAATATTGTCATGTATTTTATATATTAACCTGAGGTTTTAGAGGAGGTGGCACCCAGTGAGATTCACCAGTCATCTTATTCCAGAAATATGGTCGATTTTCCCGTTTGCTCCAACATTTTTTCCAACCTTGTTGCTGAAGCTCCACAGATAACTCGAGTTCCGGAAAAGCTACTGGTGGTGTACCCTATAATAAATTATGTACAGTCTGAGAACTTGAAATAATAATAAAAAAAAAAAAGAATATGTAATAAACCCTTTAGTTCCTAAAGATAAGAGTTTCTTAGTCTTAAATTTTTCAGATTTTTCAAATTATGAAAAGTACACAATTTCATTTGCTTGGAGTTTCTTGTTTTACCTGATTTATCAGAGAAGGTTGTTGCAGGTGACCAAGTTGAGGACAGTGTTCAGCTACAGTTTGTGCTGGAGTTAACATGGGCGTTTGAAGCTTCACAGGTGTAGGAACTATAACTTGTGCAACTGCCGGATTTGTATCTTGCTGCAAACTCTGATGGTGATGATGCATGGTCGATAATGTGGATACTGCATGTCCCGGTAAAGTTTCCCAACTCGAGGTATTGGGTATGTCTTGCTTTCCTCCGCTTACTTCGTTCATTGTTCAATTTGAACTGTTTCGGAGAATACTGAAAATATTAATGTAACACATTATAGAATATTTAAAAATAGTAATTTAAAACAATTAAAATTGTGTAACATATTGCGCATATAAGGATATATTGAAGTATATAACAAAATATAGTTATACTTTGATACAATCAAATATACAAACTTATCAAATATATTACTTGTGACAGAAAGACACGATAGAAGTATCTGTGATAAAATCAAAATGATGCAAATATGTGATGTCAAAGGAGTTTATGAATTAAAAGACAGAGAAATTTCATCTACTTTGAAGAAAATATTGTCAAAATGTCAATGTGTAGTGATCCCGTAACATTGTGGACACAATGAAAAAAAATCTCACAAGTAACATAACTTCAGAAGCAGCAAAAGCGATAGAGAATAACTCAAATCGTATTGAATCTGAGAAATGCATTAGTATGATAAAATACATTTTTGCAGTTTGCGCAATCCGGTCTATTTAAAAGAGACAAATAGCGAAAGGGGAGACAGTAATAATTGCGTTTCGTGTGGTTCGACAGTACTCGGTAATACAATGTTTGTTTACATGCTGAGAAATCACTGAAGAAGATACACAAATTTCTCACGTCACAACGTCCGGCCGATTAGCACAATGCGCACCACAATCAAGAGCAGACTTACCAGAATTGACAGAACACTCAATTCATGAAAAATGTGCGGCAACACTTAGAATTCATTCATGATTTGTGAATTTTGACGCAACGATATCCACCTCTACGACGCCATTTGCTTCAACTGTATTAACCCAGAGTCGAAAAATCTTTATAGAAGGATCTGCGCGTGCCGGACGACGGCAGCGCTTCTGCTTCTTTTTTTTTTGTTTTTTTTATCTCACAAAAAGTTCAGTAACAACTGAAGTTTCTAGTGACATCGAATAAAAAACGATCGATTATGAGTTCGGCTAATCGATATTCCAATGAGAATATCGCGATGCGATATCGCCATGATATCGCTCCATTGTCACTACTAAAGTAGCGTTTAAATAGAGGTCGTGTCTGTATGGAGTAGATGAGGCTGTGCTCCATGTGCTCGCAAAATTCGCTCAGTCAGTTGTCATGTAAGTAAATCCGGTTTTGTGGAGGGATATACAATTTTGTTGTTTCTTCTGAGACAATATGATAAACACAGATCAGCCAGACGTAGAAGTTGCACTTCTACTTAATTACTATCTACATAAAGGTAATGTACACAAAAATAATAAAAACATTTTATACAATGTTTAAATATTGTTTACTTAACACAAAGCGTCATGTGACTCAAATTGTCAAGAACTGCTTCCTCTACTATACCTCATTCGATGCCATTCTCTGCGTTAAGTTCTTGACAATTTGAGTCACATGACACTTTGCTGCCACAGCATGCTGCTATATGAAAAGGTACCTTTATGGTGCTAAAATAAAAATGTATCATTTAAGCAAGCTAATATTCTTACAATTTTTTAGTTTTTTCTTTACCACATAACATACGTGATTTATTAAATGGCCAGTATGAGGATATATTAAATAGTGAACTTTCTACATCTGTAGTGGAAGCAATAAAATGTGATGATAATTTGGAAGAAATTATTATTAAGGATGTATCTAGATCAAATACACATCTGTCCTGGTTGTGTACAGGTGTAGCTTCATTGTTACACTTTGTCCAATGCAACTGGACAGGTCCTCCAGTTTCCAAGAATATTGATTGGATTGAAAGCATGAGAGATAAAGCACTCAAAGATTTATCATTACACGACGAGTGCAACATAAATGTTAAAAAAATAGAGTTTCTTTATTTGTCAAAGAGAATCTTCTCCAATACAGCTTTACAGTTGAAGTATAAAAGTTGCATTTGGTGGTTATTTAGAGCCAATCTGTTACATCAGCATATATTGGATGAAAGTTCGGGAGTGATATTTGAAGAAAGTGAAAACTTAATATTGAAAATCAAGGAACTTGATATATTGAAAGATTCTCTCTGCGAGCTGTTATTCAATTTAGAAGCTGCTCAGTTTTACTTGTATTATAGAAGAACACAAAATTCTGAGAAGCATCTTGAATGTGCACAAAGCTTAGCAGGCTTAACATTAGATTTACAAGGTGCAATGGGAAAACGTACCAAGTATCAGCATGTGGAAAAGGCGCAATTATATTTGAATGTACAGATAAGCAAGGATATTATTCCATCAATAGATTGCAAAGACATTCCAAAATCATTGGACTTGAATGACGAATTGAGATTAGAGAACATTGAGTTCTCTGAACATAAAGAAGAGATCAAATTGGGTTCTTGGGAGGAAGCTATAATTTTATTGAACTAGTAAGTACAACAGATTGTCATATTAGTAAATTACACCATAATTTATGTTACACCATAAAAAGAATTTAACAATCGATAGTTTCCAGTTGCGGTTGTGCCATCCTGAGCATAAACTCACCTATGAGGAGATCAAACCTTATTTGACTGTAAGAAATAAATTTATAACATAAATTTTGTGATTTATTATCAATACAATAGCTTGATTTACAAAAATTTCTGTTGTAGAAAGTAGTGGAAAACACGAAAAATTGGTCGTTAAAAATAACTTCTTTATATCACCGCTGTCTTCTGGAGCACACTGACAAGAGAACAGTCGAGCGATCTATGATGCAAGCGGAATCTTTGCAGAAAGATTACTACAATACGAAAGTATCTGTAGCTCGAAGGATGGATCTGTTCTTCGCGAGTGGTATGAAACCTATCTGGATATTAGAACAGAATTGGGCTGAGATAATGTTCAGTCTTGGTTTCATAAAAGAAGCTTCGGAACATTTTGCAGAACTCGGAATGTGGGAATATGTAATTAATTGTTACATTACGTTAAATTTGAAGCATAAGGTACGGCATCTTTATATTTAGGTATATAGATTTTTGGTAGAATACAATATAAAAACAGCAATAAATAACATGTGCACTTACAGGCAACTGAAATTATTCAGCAAGAAATATCTAAGAAGCCAACGGTAAAATTATGGTGGCTGCTTGGAGACGCAACTGGCGATGTGAGTCATTATGAAACGGCATGGAGATTGTCCAAGGAAAAAAGCAGCAGAGTTCAAGAACGCTGGGGACGCTATTATTTTGCGAAAAAGAACGTTCGTACATATTGAAATGATTTTTCTACTTCTTATTTATTTTTCAGAATGTGTAAAATTTTTACTGTGAAATCTATTGTTTAGTATACTGAGGCTATACCACATTTAAAATTGTCTGTCGAGTTGAATAACATCCAGGAATTAGTGTGGCTCAACTTGGGCTATGCAGCATTGCAAACAGAGGATTGGAAATTAGCTGCTACGGCATATAAACGTTATTGTGCTTTAGAGCCATCTGTACGTATTATATTTCTTAGTAGTCTACACAAGCACATGTGCATTAAAAATCTAATTGTCTTATTTGATGAAAATTTAAGAATTTCGAGGCATGGAACAATTTGGCGAAAGTCTATATAAAATTAAGGGACAAACCCAAAGCCTGGAAGTTTCTGCAGGATGCCATAAAATGTAATTATGATCGTTGGGAAGTGTGGGATAATCTAATGGTTGTTAGCATTGATTTAGGACATTTTACCGAAGTAAATATTCACGCTAATATATATTTGATAATCTTCATATTATATTATCAGTATATATCATTTAAATTAATTTGATTGCAACAATAACAGGTTATTCGATGTTATCATCGCATTCTGGATTTGAAACACAGTCATTTGGATATTCAAGTTCTTCAAATATTAACGGATGCTATAATAAATGATCTTCCTGATGTTGATTCAGGAAAGTCAGCGTCTCATTTGCTCCAAAAGTGCTTGGAATTGTTCGGTAGAATTAATTCTATCACAATTAACAATCCGGATGTTTTAAGATTGTACACTCAACTCGTTATGCTGAGGAAAACGGACGTTGACGAAAAGAAAGCAGTTCAGTATCTGCAACAAGCGTATCGTGCTGCTACCTCGAATCCAACATGGATTTACAACGAAGACGCTACGTTGAATATACTGACTTTGTGTAGTAATTTGGCACAGGTGTATTTAGATTGTGCCACTGATGTCTCAGATATTCAGAAGAGAAAAATGTTGGGAAGTGCGAAATTATCGCTCCAATCAGTCCTTAGAAAAGTCGAAGAGCAAGAATGGAGCAACGCGAATATTATCGAAGAGTTGACGAAAGTTAAAAACTATTTTACAACAATAAATAACAAAGTCATTGAAATAAATAATACATTGAGCACAAAAGTGTAAATTGAAATAAAATTATAAATTGAATTCAATAAAAAAGCAAGGATGTTTATATTATTACTCATTTGTTATTCAATATGTGGTAAGAGAAAACCAAGAGAATATGTTTTTAGAAATATATTATAAACAATATATTCGTCAATCTGTCATGTTCTTTAGGAAATACATGTCTTCGTCTCATTATTAAATTTCCAGAACAACCACCAATTACACGTATACTATTAGTTTTTGTTTCGATTCATTTTCTATGTTTTCTTGAAATTTGTTTCCTTCTTTGTAAAAACACTTAAAAACAAAGTGCTTTGCTTAAACCTTATTTAATAATTTTTATCTCATACCGATATTCAAATTAAATGTTGCTAATCTCTGCGACGATTATGTTTGTGGTTGTCAGCTGTTGCATTTAAACGAGCGAGAAAGAGAGCGAAGATAGAAAAATAAAATGAGAGAGAAGTTCGCACTATCGACATAACTTAAGCCCTTTGCACAATGGACGGAATAGCGATAGCGATAGAAATAATTTGTAAAGAGTTTATATTTATAAATAACAGTAGGAACAGTAGCGGAATCTAACATACAAAAATACACACGTATCAATGCAGATCAGAAAATCAGAATAACCAATAGCGATAAAATTTCCGACGAGTTGGAATTCTGTGTCTAAAACTGTGTTATTTCTAACGCTATCGCTATTCCTTCCATTGTGCAAGGGGCTTTACGAATGTCACGCGTGTTGCGCTACTGTGCTTTGAGCGTTATCATTTTATCGTTGTTTTACATTCAAAGAGCAATAAAGCGAGTAAACGATTAAAGCAAACGCATCTTATCCGTTGAATAGATACGAACATTGCAATTCATTTGCACATAGTGAGTGTACGAGTCACTTCAGCACCAAACCAAAACCACATAGTAAGCATCAAATGCGAATTATCGCAAGTTACAAGTTACAATAGCGCGTTTTGTGTTATATATTAAAAACTATTGTACATTTATATACAATTGCGTCAGTTTGCCTAACTCGAGAAGTGAGATTTAATCAGATAATTTGTAAACATATTGTTTGTTTCCAGATGGCTTTTGTGGGAAAAGTTGTTCTCATCACAGGCGCCAGCTCGGGAATCGGATCTGCCACAGCGATTCATCTGGCTCAATTAGGCGCTTCGTTGTCACTAAGCGGACGTAACGTGGATAACTTGAACAAAGTGGCCCAACAATGTGGAAAATCCAAGCCGTTCATTGTGACGGGAGAACTGACCAACGAGAACGATGTCAAAAACATTATAGACTCGACGATAAAACACTACGGCAGATTGGATGTTCTGATAAACAACGCCGGAGTTTTAGTTAAGGGTAGTATAGAGACCACGAGCTTGGAAGAATACGACAGGTATGTGCACAAGATATACACAAAGAAACAGAATCGATTCCGTGAGGAGAAAATTTCTTCTCTACGCGCTGTTCTCTCTCAGCTGTTCAAAATTTAAACGCTGTCATTTATTGCTACCTTGTATACAATGATGATCCATATGTTACACTGAAGTCAAAAATATCTCTACAGTCATGTTAAAATCCCAAGACTTTTGTTACAGATCGTGAAGTAACGTATAAACAATGCTGTTTCAAACTTTCAGAGCTTTCAATATAAACGTTCGCTCGGTGTTTCAATTGACAACACTGGCGGTGCCGCATTTAATCAAAACCCAAGGTAACATTGTCAACGTCTCGAGCGTAACCGGACTGAGGTCTTTCCCATATTGTTTGGCGTACTGTATGAGCAAAGCTGCTGTGGATCAGTTTACACGCTGTATCGCTTTAGAATTGGCACCAAAGCAGGTGCTAACGCAATTTTTATTTGATAATAATTGTCATTGATATTTTATCTCTCAGAATTATCATTTTTAAACGTAAATTTAAACGTTTCAGGTGCGCGTAAACGCGGTGAATCCCGGTGTTGTGGTAACAAATCTTCACCGTAACAGCGGAATGAGTGAGGAGCAGCTGGATACTTTCTTTCAACATAGCAAGGATACGCACGCTCTGGGAAGAACGGGCGATGTCACGGAAGTCGCGAAGACCATCGCTTTTCTGGCGAGCAACGACGCCAGTTTCATAACAGGCGCGACGTTACCTGTGGACGGAGGTAGACACGCTATGTGCCCTCGTTAAATAAAGTCTTCTGTTATTTTCTACATGAAATATATGATATATTTGATACACATAATATATCACATTTACAATATATAATAACGGTAGTCCACAAATTTTTTGTGTATTTTCTATTAAATAGTTCTAAAACATGTTAAAAATATCTGAGATTTATTATTGTAGGAGAAATGTTTTTGGGGGGGAGATTTCATATATATATATAATTTTTACACATATATACAACAGAGTATTTTTCTACTGTATCCATAATTTGCATTGTATACAAGGATGAGTCTTACTACTCCGCAATAAAACTACATTCATTATATAAGTGTTTTTTTTCCAAAGGAATAACAAGTTTTTTTGAAGTTACTAAAACCTGTTCTACAAATTGTTGTGTTCAATGACAGAACATATGGATCACGTTACGTGTGGTTAATGATTCATCCTCTACGTTTGTAAACATACTATTTTGGCTCAGATATATAAACGAGAAGTAATACAATTTTATACGTGGTCTTACACGATTTTGAAGAACGCTTGATAATAGTCTACTACAAAGATCTTATTCATATCAGAAAAATTCTCAATTTTTATAAGACATTATTAGAAACAATTTCCTACTCCTAAAAACTAATTTCTCTAATTTAACTTGATAAAAAAAGTAAAACATACGTATATTTCCTAAGAAATTGTTGTCTTCTAATTATGCTAGTATTTCGTAATCGTAATTAAGTTTTTTTCTACATTTTACTTTTATATACAGAAATCATTTACTAACATACATACACAAAGAGACAGACGTACACGCACGCATACTTATAAAATCCCTACTTCTTTTGCGCTAACAATATATATAAAAAGAATTGTAAGTATATTTCTATATAGTCAAAGGTACATACAATCTCTTACGACTCTTTCTCCAGTCTCCTTAGTACACAGCTGTGAAAGAGTGTCAAAACAAAAAAAAAACAATTATCACAATTTCCTACTGGAATTATGCACGTATTTTAAAGCAGAAACGATATAAAAGGAATCTTTTTCGTATCTGCTTTTTCAATAGACAAGTTTTTTCTCTTCATCGATATCATATAAATTAAACGATTGAACGTTTCAGCCTTTACTGGCAGGTACTCGGTTAGTGCTGTTGTTTTTCGAATCAACTGCACTCAGCGCTATCCCTAATTGTGCTGCGTAATACGTTAACATAATAGACACCTATAAAGCAAACTTGAATTACTTGTATGTCTTATCGTTGTGCTTGCAATAGCAGAAGTTATTGCAGCGTAAACAAGCGATAAGTATTAGATAAGTTTTGTTTTTAGCAGTCGATGTGTTAATGAAAGAAGAGAGGGAGAGTTATAATGTTAAATATATATATATATATATACACACACACACGTACCTGTGAATATGGCAATGGACTGTGGAAATAATGAAACCCAAGTAAGGTGTCGGATATGACAAAGCAAATGCTTCCAATGCAACTGCACAATTTAGTCCATGTCCACAATTCCTAGCAGAGATGGATATATACAATTAATCCCCATACAGCGGTCCAATGCGCAAGAGAATTAATACCGATCATTATTACACAAGCGTGCGTTTAAGAGAAAAATTATATTATAGATAGGGTAAATATTATTGTATGTAAATAAAATCAGATATAGAGACGTAAAAATGGTTAAAAAGATGAATAAGTAAAAAAGCGTTTGTAAGCGTGTTTACCCCAAAAAATTGCACTCTGGATATGGCTCTCCAGGCCATGGTTGTAAGTAATACTGTATAAATTGGCACTCCTATTGCTAAAATCCCGCTTAATCCGGGCATCAAAGCGTATATGACTGAAAAAAAGCATCGATCTCAATAATTATTAATACCAGCTCAGACTTTAGTTGAAATAATGCGGGGAGAAAATATTCTCTCGCGAATCTCTTACCAACGGAACAACCCATGTACATTATCGCACCGAGCGTTAAATTGAGGGGTGTGAATCCGAATGCGATTATATACATAATTTGAGCGATAGCGAACATGCACATTCCCGCTGTGAAACAGTTAGGCCATACTAACAAAGCGTCGCCCATACAACTGAACACCAATCCTGTTAGTATACGCCTGGAGAAGGTGTATCTGCAAAAAAATATAAGTGTCTTAGAAGCACTCGAAGAGAGAAAATTCAATCCAATTTATTTTGTACGGATTGGAAAAAGACACAGTTGTGAGAGGAGCGTTTTTACTTACTCCTTGGACAAACTGATTCCGTGCAACAAAATGAAAACAATGAGACTTATTATCGGCAAGCACTTGAAACACGCGGTCAACAGAGACGGTTGCTCGGCGAGTATTACAAAGTACACCGATACGCTTTTAAAGAACGGCACCAATTTTGGTCCAACGCTTTTAATCTGAAAAATGCAGAAAATCACTTTATTTTTATTGAGATAAGCATTCTTTGTCATTAAATCTGTCCGATCTCTTTGCGCGTTTCCAGAGAGATACAGCGCGTTCATAGCAATTTACTCTCGTTTATCTTTATCACATTTGGTCCACAAATTATACACGTAGTTTTTCGGTCTGTAATTTACAGTACGACCCGTGTGACCCGTTAAGATAAGACAAAAGATTAAGAGATTTGTTTTTAACTCGTGCATAAACAAGTTTCAGAATTTTTGTTTTATCTTAAGCTGCTTTATTAAGACATAAGCCTTTTGAAATTCTGAAATAAATGTGTTTGTAGATAAGATTAATGATAAACTTTTTATAACATTTTTTTTCGCGCATGTTTCGTTTTATTGAAAGAAAAAACATTTACAAGGAAAGTATATTTGATAAACAAATATATTTAGTACAGATATGAAGTGCACATATAAATTATATCTTTCATATCTCTTCTTACGTTATTTAATTTTATTTATTATTTTGTAAATAAGAATAAATTTTTCTTTATTATTTTGTAAATAAGAATAAAAATATAAGTTACCTGGAAAATAATCTGTTTTTACATATTATCATGTTTTATTTAACATATTTACGTAAGTCTTATAAAAAAGTCATGCATCTTTGACTTTGTCTCTTAACACATACATATCTCACACATACATATTTCATATCATATTCAATTAACATATTATTCAATGCTGAAGTTTGATAATGCAAAGAAATAAGTTTTTCTTTGTCAGAAAATTCTAGATTAGCAAATAGGCAAAAACAAAATGATAATCCTGGTTTATTATTTTATTTTGTTCTTATCATTATTTATTTTTAGTATTATTCAGCATGAATTTTTTTTTATCAGACAATAGATTTTCTTCATTATATTGAGTGCACCGTTCTCTATTAAAAAAAAAATTGCTACTTATTTGTTATTCAAGATTTAGCTAACAGTGCATGAAAAAGGCCTAGCCACCACTGAGGCCTAATCATTGATCTAATACAGCCAGTTGAGTGCATTGTGTATGTGACATTACCTAATACTGGTATCATGGAATATATAATGGTCTTTGGTATAGAGAATGATCATTTTATGCCAATCTGGTGATTCCTCTAATAGCATGTCATTGTAACACAACTACATTGAATTGAGATCTTTAAGATATTTTCAAGCAGGATGTATTTGTGTGTGTGTGTGTGATGCGGAAGTCTGTGCTCTTCACCATTTATTTGCAATTTCCGTACAATGTGTGAGATTACGTGATGTTATCAATGTTACTTAATAATGTACAATTCTGAGATTGTCAGATTGCTTAGAAACAAGGAAAACAGAATTTAATAGAACTTCTGATTTTCAAAATCATCCTATTGAAAAAGTAAAAATTACAAAAACTTTTCATTAATATGTGAAATATGAAATGAACGAGTTTTTAATACTTACAATAAATAATTAAGTTTTTAAGAATATTTTCTAATAATAAGTAATAAATAATAATTGTATGTTATATCTTTTTTTTGTGTCAAATCACATATATATATTTATACATGCAATTGTAATACTAAAATGCAAAATAAAACAATATATAAATGTTTTAGATTGTGTGTTACAGTTTACACAAAGGATACTGTGAATTAATTAAATTCTCAATGACACCGGTTTTTTTAGTAAAACACAATCCGGTCAGACAAAGAAACGTACGAATTGAAAATTCGTGCAGAATGAAAAAACAAAAAGCCGAAAGCGAGATCTGACAAATCGAATGACATCAATGACCTGACAGCGGATTGTGTATGCAGCTCGCGAACTGCTGAACGATATTATAAAGGGCTAATGAAAATGTTGGCGAAAAAAGGGTGCTTAATAAGCGTAAACAACACCTATATTCGATTCCCTTACCACTTCTCTGGGCGATGACATCTTTGATCGCGAAAAAAATGCAAAACAATCTCCGTTGTTGTTGTGTTGTTGTCGAAGAATCCACTACCTGCCGGCGCTGTGACGGGCCTCCCGAATGCTATCGCTCGCGGCGAGCTCGCCGCTTATTTATACAACGCTTTCCGCACGATGCACTGTCATAGTATATACACAAGTATATATACAGGGTGCCTTCCACGGTAGATATGTACATAGTATATATAGATTAGAGCTCGAACATAACAACCTCGAGCGAATTATATGCTCCAGTTATTCGAGAAGTTCGAAGCGGATACATTTGGACAGCTGGCTCGAGCTGGTTTCGAACCTATTTGACAAGTTCGAAATTTCACTGAGAAGATCGATCTCATGAGGTTTTTGTTTGGAAACAAACTTCATACAAAGAGACATTTGATATTATTTTTTACCGAAACAGGTTGAATCGTTTCTTTGGAGCGATTAACGTCGCTTTGATGAATCAAGATACATGACTAATCGATTTGCCAAGTTGACGTCAATAATTTCTCAGACATCAATAAACGATTCGAAGTGTACTGCAGTGTACTGATCAAAAACGCTAATAGGTTTACGCTACCTGTATATTAGAACATACAGACGGGAACGCACGAAAAAACTTAAGCAATAATGACCACGCACACACAAATTTGCAGTAAGACCAGAGTGTTAAATGAAACCAACCAATCACAGGTCAGCGTTCTCTCGAATGTAGCTTACGTTCAAGAGAATGCTGATCTGTCATTGGTTGTTTTCCTTGATGTGTTTAAATATTTTGTGTGCTCCCGGCTTATTCTTTAGAAATGTTGCAACAGTCCGCTAGATGTCACGGGAATAGAAACTGACAGACCGCAAAAGATGGAAGTCGTGCTATCTGGCGACAGCGGGAAGAAACACTTACAAGATCGGTAATTCGCACAGGTAAACACACAGTTTTTTTACATAAGTTTTTAATTTTTTAAAAATAGATATCATGTGTTTTACATTTTACTTGGCATATTTTAATTTAAAATTTTTTATTTTAGATCTACGTTTTTTTTTTTATATTTTGAATCTGAAGTTAATTTATGAAAAGAAGAAGGTTTTTGTTACTTTTTCTGTATTTTACAAAAATGAAGATATTAAAAAAAAATTAAAACAACGGATATAATTATATTAGTGATAAAATAGCATTTTCGTCAGATAGTTTCGCGTATATTCGGACTTGTGCTTGTAATGATCATCATATACGTTTTTTTTTTGTTAAAGATTTAAACTCTTATAATCACTGGAGGATTATGCAACATAGTAACAAATCACATCAAGCTGATGAGTGTCGGTGATTGAGATCAGAAACCAGTTTTACCGGGTAATCAAACCAACATTATTATTACTAACGGATAGCTTTATTAAATGATAAAATATACACACACAAACGTCCACGCAATTACTGCGATTGTACGGGTTATTGCGAGCTTATAGTCTCAGCGCACATGTAGATAATATTTCTCAAGTATACATTGTGTTTTTTGTTGTAAAATTATATGTATATTATTTAAAACACAAAAGATAGAGTATTTAAGAGGCTTAAAAAAAAAAAAAAAAAAAAAACCATTTATTCTAGAGGCCAGATTTAATTAACACAACTTCCACGATTAAAATTCGTAATTGCTATTTCCAGAGAGAGAATAAAATAATGTTCAATATGATATTACATAATTGCTTTCGATAAGACGCGATAAGAAATAAGAGAGATTAATGGACAAAAACAATCATTTATCACGTTCTCAGAATTCTTGTTTTTATCAACAACTTTGTTTATTGAAATCTAAAGGCACAGAGAAGTTTTTAATATAAGTTTTACATATTATTTATTTTTCAAGTGTCACATTATTTTCGACAAATAGAAAATAAATAAAGAGTAACTAAAATCTCTCTCAATATAGAGATTCACGTAAATATAGTTATAATCACAGTTGTGCTCTCTCTTCCTCTCTCTTCTCAATTGGTAATTTTAGTAAAAGTGATATTGAATTTTACGCAAAAATGGAACAAAAAAACGCGTTTTACGCTGGTATTTTACCGGCTTTGACCGCGTAAGTACCTTTACCAGTGCTATCTATGTTTGCTGCACTGCTGCTGTAAACACCTTTAGCACCCTCGACGCTACCGCTCTTGCTCACCTCTCCTTCGTCGTCGCCACCGGAACGAGAGAACAAACTGCGAACACGAAAGCGTAAAAAATTATCTCAATTTAAACGTCTCGCATGACTAATACTTTTTTATAAATTCAATACACGTCTTTTATGCCATGCTATATTCGTACAATACATCATCTTTGCCGATTTCCATAACCAAATATAATTTGCATAGCAGCGATTGTGAGCAAACGGGACTTTACGGATTCGAATTGAAGGAACACGTTTACCTTGAAACCTGTTCCACTAATGAAAAAATCTCTACGAATTAATTTGCCATCTACATGTTATATAACAGTATAGATAGATCATCAATTATTTTTACAACTGCCTCGGGCTATACGCAAAGACAAACAAGTCTGCCGTTCTTGCTCACTCAAGTAAGATAGGTAAGTTCCTCAAAATCATTGATATGACTTACGCAAAGACATTGATGTATTTAATATCTACTTATATATTTTAATATCTAGTTGTACATTCGGTGATACATACTCTACTCCCGGTCCGTGTGCAAAGCCTCCGTGACCTCCGAATCCGCCACCTCCGAATCCGCCACTGCCAGCATTTGCGCTAGCACTGGCTTGAGCATTAGCACTTGCTCCACCACTACCGCCAATACATCCTCCAAGACATCCACCTGAAGCATGAAATATGACGAAGTTCAAGGTTTGTTTCTAAAGTATTTTTAAATTTTATTATTCACAAACAATTATTCGCAAACTACCTCCTCCGCTGCCGCCTAAACCACCTCCTAAGCCTCCTCCGTGTCCACCGCCTAAACCACCTCCCAATCCTCCTGCTCCGCCATGTCCACCACCTAAGCCTCCTCCGAGTCCACCTCCAAATCCTCCCGATCCGCCGTATCCTCCACCTAAGCTTCCTCCGTGTCCCAAACCACCTCCTGCACTTCCTCCAAGTCCACCACCTAGTCCACCGCCTCCTGCGCCACCACTCCATTTACCAGGTCGGCCACCGCCACTTCCACCGAACCCTCCAGCTCCAGCGGAAGCACCAGCATTTGCTGAACTTCCACTTCCTGCACTTCCTCCAAAACCGCCGCCATCTGCATTATCAAAATTTATATATAAAATCGTTCTAGAGAATTAATAAAAAGCAAATATATATTTTAAATTTATTTTCAATTATTTTTTCCTAATCGATCAGATAGATTCTATAAAGAAGATCATATTTTTTAAATATTGACTTACGGCCGCCTCCAAGGCCACCTCCTGGACCAATACCACCACCATAACCACCAGCTCCACTACCACCACCACCCGCGCCGGAACCACCCAAGCCACCACCGTATCCTCCGCTGCCACCACCGTATCCTCCGCTGCCACCACCTCCGTGACCTCCTGCGGAACCACTTCCGCCAAAACTGCCAGCGCCAGCGTTAGATATTGCACCGGAACTACCCAAACCACCTGCGCCAGAACCACCACCACCATATCCTCCGCTGCCACCGCCTCCGTGACCTCCTGCGGAACCACTTCCGCCAAAAGTGCCAGCGCCGGCGTTAGATCCGCTTCCACCGTAACCACCACCTAAAGCTCCACTAAGTTTACCAACTCCTCCACCGCCACTGCCTATAAAATAAATATGTAAGCTGCTAAGGAATTGTTATGTTGTTATGGAAATGACAGTATAGTAAAAAGCACTTTATTGAATTATATATGAATTAAACTGTAAGTATGTAACTTTTTATACTATATTATATAAAAATTAGAATGTTAGCGGTTTTTCTCTTTCTCTACTCTCTCTTATTAGTGTATTATTATATTACGTATATATATAACTAACTATTCTCTACTGTCCTCTTTATATTTTTTTCTTATTCTTCTATCTATAATTGTTGAAAACAAATTTCTTTCAACTTACTGTAGCCTCCGCTGCCTCCGTGTCCTGAAAAGAAAAATTCATTAGATTGTTGTATTTAAAACCAATCGAGAAAATATTTTATAGAAAACAAACAATTAAAATATATTTACCGAGTCCACCACTGCCGCCGCCACCAAATCCACCACTGCTACCGCCACCGTAACCACCACTGCCACCGCCACCAAATCCACCAGAACCGCCGCTACCACCATATCCACCACTACCGGGACCACCGCCGCCAAATCCACCCCCGTGTCCACCGCTACTAGCTCCAGTATTAGCACCAGCACTAGCACCAGCATTAGCACCCGCACTGCCGCCACCACCGCTGCCACCAAATCCACCACTGCCGCCTCCAAGTCCGCCATGGCCACCACCGAATCCACCACTGCCGCCTCCAAGTCCGCCATGGCCACCGCCGCTGCCACCACCGAATCCACCACTGCCACCACCAAAGCCACCACTGCCGCCTCCAAGTCCGCCATGGCCACCGCCGCTGCCACCACCGAATCC